GTTTTTTTTCCCCCTCCCCCCCCCCCCCCCCCCCATCTGGCCCTGCAATTCTCACCACTCCCCCAGGGAAAACTCCACTGCAGAAAGCCCCTCTCCCGTCCCTCAGCACAGGCTGAGAGCGCAGCAGGTAGCCTCTCTCTGGGGCCCCCATTGCTCCTGCTCCCCGCAACGTCCACCCACCTCAGAGAGCACTGCAGGTCCCTGCACTGCAGGATGAGGACACTGCCCCAAGACTGCTCTAAGGCGAAGAGATGCAGATGGTGAGGAGCACGTGAAGCTCAGGCTCTTTGCAAGCTGGTTCGCTTCCACCAGGAGGTGGTAGGTTGGAGTCAGTGTCTTGTTGATTAATTAACTTTGCTCTTCTGCAGGAAAGATACAGAAGAAACTTGGTTAGGTTGGTTTTGGTGGCCTGCATGCGAAAAGCAGCACCTTTCAGGCCTGAAAGCAGGAAGCATTTTGTGTTTCTAGAGCTTTCTGTTTGTGAAAAACACCTCATTTGTTTTATGAGGCTGTTTTTGCATAAACTTCCAACAGCCTGGTGTAGAGCACATTACCCAGCCTCTTCACGGTTTATGAACAACCTTTGCATAATTCGGGCATTTGAGACACACAGCATACACACTTCCCAGGCATAAACTTTCAGCTGGTGCTAGCAGTGGGAAAGGCAGTTCAATGTGTTAAGAATATGAGGAATGTCCCCTTGGACCAGGTTGTCCATGCAGCCCCGGTTCTGCTCCAGGAGCGGTAATAGCACATGCTAGTTAGGGAGTGCATGTGAGCCTGGGCACTCCCTCTCTTGTGTGTTCTTCCAACATCCCCACTTCTTTATCGTACTGTTAGATGTAATGGATCTGTGTCCTTGATTTGCCTCATCCTTCTCTGAACCTGCAGATACAGTGCCCACATCTCCTGTTCACCACCTGGTCTTATAAAGAAGTCTTTCTGACAGTGCCCAGCATTTCTCTGCCAACACCCAACATTTTGCTGGCTTTCCCAAACCCGATGATTTCAGCGACCTGTCAATGACGGCTCAGCGAGCCCCAATGAGTTCATTCTTTGTGAGGGGTTCGTTGTGACGGGGATGGAAGTGAGACCCCTTCAGTCTGAGCTTCCCAGGGCAGGCACTCACAGCCCTTGGCACGGAGGCTCTCCGCTCTGGTGGGTTACACTGCTCCTTGGGTCGGTGCCACCCTGTCCTGGTGATTACTAACAGCCACCTCACCTATTTTACTTCATACCTCCTGTTTCCTACTTGCGTCACTTAAATTGCTCACTCCTGCTACCTATGTAGTTCCTGTTATCTATTTACCTCTTTATTTCGATCTGGCTCCTCTGGCTGAGCTGTTACAGAAAGGGCAACGGGTATGGAAATCTCCCCAGCAATTTCCACAATAAAGTCAGATGCAAAGAATTCGCTGAGTTTCTCTGCTCTAGCTTTACTGTCCCCTCTGTGTCAGCCAGCAGTCCCACCAATTTCCTAGCTGGCTTCCTGTTTTTATGTATTTAAAGAACCTTTTACCAGTGGTTAGAGCATCCTTTGCAAGATGCTTTATAGATTCTTTTTTCAGCCCTCTTTATTTCTTGTGACCTGCCATGTTTTGTGGACTTTCCTGTTCTTCGGCAAGTGATCCATTTTTAACTGCTGACCTCTTCCCCATTATATCCGCCTAACTTTTCCAATGAGCCACGTGGGGTTTTTCTTTGGGTTATTTTGAACCGTTCTGTTTTCTTTCTGAATTGTGACACACATTTTACCCGGACTCTTAATGCAGAATTTTCTAACGGCATCCAAACTGCTTGTGGACTTTTTGATTTCTGGCTCACAGCTTTTTAGGATTTGGTTTGGGGATTTTTTTTGAGGGGGGGGGGAACTAATTGCTGTAAAAATCAGTATCTTCACCACCCCCCGGCCCCAAAATTGGGAAAACTCAGTTAACTCCTCCTGGCAACCTCTAAGAGGCAAAGCTACTCTGCCTGCAAACACCAGGAGCATAAGCTTTTAAAACAAAGAGCGCATTATTGGACTAAAAAAGTGGAAATCTGGCTGAAACCACGCAGGGAAAGAACTGCTTTCTGGGGCATCGGCCTGAACCACATGAGGCCTCTCTGGAGCGTCCATGAAAAGGCTGGGGAAGCTGCTCCTAGACACTAGGGGAGGCTCATCTTTGCTTGCCCACTTTGCCCTCAGACGGGGCAGGAGCCAAACTCCGTTGTCCAGACACCCTGACCATGAAGCTGTTGTATAAAACTGGGAAGATCTTACCTTCAGATCATAGTTTTGAAGGAAAAAAAGGTGGCTGGTGGTGCATCTCCCCACGGATGCCCATCAGCTGGGCACAGTTGGAGCCGGGGAGCCGCCGGCAGAGCCATTCCTCCCCGGTGCGGCCTCGCCGAGGGGAACCAGCCTGCTGGGCCAGCCTAGAGACAGGACTGAATTTTTGGGAGCGAGGTTTCTAGGAAATCTGGTCACCTTCAGAGTTAAAGGCAAGCGAGCACAGATTTCTGTGTTTTGTTTTGTTTTTGTTTTTGTTTTCTGCAGGTCAGGTGATGAAAAACAGCAGGAGCAGTGATTTTTGGCTGTGCACTCACTAGTACTTTCTGCAGAGATGTCTGCAGAGTGCTTTGAGCCTAAAGAGACTACTCTATTGCATGTTAGGTCAAAGTCACTGCAGTCTCTTCCTTCTTTTGGAAGGAGTGTTATAGTTTACTTTTAAAACAACAAACCGTCCAAGTGAAAGAAAGTATACGAGCAGTGACCAGTCCAGTCCTTGGGTCTGTAGTGCCTCCAAAGGAGAGAGTCATCTTACCCAAATTACTTGCTCTAACTTGCTACTGACTCCGCTCTGGAACATCACATGCAAGGTTTATGTAAAAACAGTCCCACACAAGAAACAAGGGGTATTTGTTCACCAGCAAGTAGCTAGAAAAATGCAAAACACTTCCTGCTTTTAGGCCTGGAAGGTGCTGCCTTTCACACGCGAGGCTGGATATTGGGCTTTCATGTGGAGAAGTGCCGCATCACTCAGATATGCCCAGGGGCATCCAAATAAATTAAGAACTGCCTATGCTTTAAGCAATCCCAAGACCTCTATGCCAGCACATGTTATAACCATGCAGACTTCTGCCCCCCCAACTCCGTTAGCTCAACTTAGCACACCCTGTACAACCGTGCCAAGAAACGTCCCTGGTGTAATTGTCAGGCTGAGTCAGAAGCAGGTGGCAGGCTGAACTGGCACCATCTTTCCTCCTCCTCCTCCTCTGTGCGACGTGGCACCCAGACACCCCGCACCTCAGGGCCGCCGACGGATGGGAGACCCCGGGATGGGGAGGCGTGCCGGCAGTTTCTCTAAACGTTTCAACCTGCCTGTAAGAGCTTCCTTTCTCATGCCGACGGGTGAGGGTCGCACTCAGCTTGGCTTCCAGCGCCCGCTTTGATTTTGAAGGCTGGGCAGCGAGAATCATGTTTGAGCCAAGGGATAGCAGTCGTGTGGCACCACAAAGACCACTTTTCCACGGCCCTATTCCCACACACAACCATGCTTTGTAAACAGCCAGAAAGAGGTAAACTCTCTCCCAGTTTGCCCTTCGGCCGCGGAACTTCAGTCCGGATAAAATAGCTGCAGCAGCCTTTGAAATGCTGAAGAATCATAAGTTTACAGTGGTATCTGAGAGCCCCTCCGCAGGTCAGACTAAAAGAGATATGGGTGCAGCTGCAGAAATAAGCTTTGAACTAGAGCAATGAAAATTCCTCTGGAGTTAAATAACACAGACACCTGACTGTTCTTGCTGCTTGTTTTATTATCATTGACACTCAGTTCCTAGATATCACACCCTCATTAAAGTTTTATTGCGTTGAAGTTTCATTCATCGCTGAGCTTTCAGCACTCTTTC